TGGACAGTGATGGCACTGGGACAGTGAGCACAGGGCTCACAGAATGATCTGCGGGACAACACAGAGGACACGCAGTGTGATCACTGCACCTCGGGATCGGGAACGGGATTGAACAGTTGGAACGCACAGAAACATCCCAAAATGAGGGTGTGCTGCAACCTGGCGGCCGCGGCCAGCACTGCGGGGAGCAGCTCACGGGAGGGGCGGCGCGGGGATACTCCGAGGTTACTGTCACACTGCTCCAAGGTTCCACAGCAAGCACTGCAGGAGCAACAGCTCACGGGAGGGGCGGGCAAGGCACTGCAGGGATACTCCGAGGTTACTATCACACTGCTCCAAGGTTCCACAGCAGCCCCCCCACAGCCCCAATGCCCGTAGAGCAGGGAGCTGCTCACGGGATGGGCGGCACAGGGCTACTCCAAGGTTACTATCAGGTTCCACAGCGAACACTGCAGGAGCAGCGGCACAGGGCCACTCCAAGGTTACTATCCCACTGCCCCAAGGTTCCACAGCCACCCCACAGCCCCAACGCCCGCAGAGCAGGGAGCTGCTCACAAGAGAGGCAGTGTAGGGATACTCCAAGGTTACTATCACACTGCTCCAAGGTTCCACAGCAGCCACCCCACAGCCCCAACGCCCGCAGAGCAGGGAGCTGCTCACGGGAGGGGCGGTGCAGGGTTACTCCAAGGTTACTATCACACTGCCCCAAGGTTCCACAGCCACCCCACAGCCCCAACGCCCGCAGAGCAGGGAGCTGCTCACGAGAGGGGTGGTGCAGGGCTACTCCAAGGTTACTATCCCACCGCTCCAAGGTTCCACAGCCACCCCACAGCCCCGACGCCTGCAGAGTAGCGAGCAGCTCACGGGAGAGGCGGTGCAGGGTTACTCCAAGGTTAATATCCCACCACTCCCAGGTTCCACAGCCACCCCACAGCCCCGACGCCTGCAGAGTAGCGAGCAGCTCACAGGAGAGGCGGCGCAGGGTTACTCCAAGGTTACTATCCCACCACTCCAAGGTTCCACAGCCCCCCCACAGCCCCAGTGCCCGCAGAGCAGGAGCTGTGCTCACCCAGGTCGGCGATGCAGCACTGCCGGTTGCTTTTCACCAGGATATTCCTGCTTTTCAGGTCGCGGTGGGCGATGGCCGGCTTGCCCTGCGTGCCGAAGATCTCGATGTGCAGGTGGGCCAGGCCGCTGGCGATGGACAGCACCATGCGCAGGCAGCTCACCGTGTCCAGCGTGCTCAGCTGCAGGTAATCGTACAGAGAGCCCA